AGAGAGAGAGAGAGGGGCGGGGGGCGAGGAAGTCTTTAAGTAACTGGTCTACAAACTACAAAACAGTATACAAGAATTAAGGTGACTCATTAGCGTGAAGTTCATTGACGCAATAACAGCCATGTACTGTTCATTGAAAAATTGGCATAAGTAATGCCTGACACAACAATAAAAAACTTGAACCTAAACATGGCTTCAACCACCTCCGATTGAGGGAACATCGTCGCAAACAGTCCACTCAAGCCCAAAGTTTGAGAATGTTCAACTTTTACACCCTCTCAAAGCAGAACCTAAGACATCATCAAGATGCAGTTTAATTCTATGTTCAAAGCTTAAAATGTTCTTGCTTTTCATGATTCCTGAAAGGAACAACACTACAAAACTAGTTTTTGGTCTCTCGTGTAAAAAGTACCAAAATGGACTTAAGTGCAGTGCTTGCAACACAGACGATATTTAGCTTTCTATGCAAACTAGGTGTGCACTGAGAGAAAGAAACCTTATTTCTGAACAAATATGCAAAGAATTCGAGTACAGGTCTTTGAAAACGATTATACATATATATATATATAATATACATACAGTGACATTTTTTATTATAATAGAGGGTTTTACGGCGCTCGCAACTGCATAAGGTTATATGAGCGCCATATACAGTGACAGAAGAAACCTTATTCCAGATATGAGATTATCTGCTAATTACTCCAAAATGTAAATATTAAAAAAAACACTGCATGCAAAAACAGACACTTACTAAAGATAGAATCACCAATTGATGGACACATTCTTTCATTGAAACCATTAACCACCTACCCAACTTATGGTTGTACTCACTAATACTACTTAAAAAGCACTCACTTCAGTAAACGGTACCTGGACCTTGATTTAAAGGAAGACAGCACCCAAAAGCGTATTCTACTTTAAGGAGACAACAGTTTTTTGAAAGAAATTAAGCTCAAGATGATAACTAATTTTACAAAGTGCTGTTGACATTGTTTTTCATCAGACTTTCATTAATACACAGCACAATGCAAGTGAGGATCTAAGAGAGAGAGGGGGGGAAAAAGAGAGAGAGAGAGTGTGTGTGTGTGTGTGTGTGTGTGTGTGTGTGTGTGTGTGTGTGTGTGTGCGTGCGCGTGCGTGTGTGTGCGCGTGTGTATGTGTGTGTGTTAGTGTGTGTATGTGTACCTGTGTGTGTTAGTGTGTGTATGTGTGTGTGTGCATGTGCTGTGCTGATGTGAGTGTGCTGTGTCTATGTGTTTGTTATGTTTGTATTTGCATGTGTGCGTGCAGAGATGCAACTGTGTGGCCATGTGCTTGCTTACATTTGTCTAAATACGTGCATACATGTGATAGAAAAAGAAAGAGATAAAAGGGAGACTATGCTGATTTTATAACGGTGTGACCCTCTCTAACTAAAACTGGAAAGAGAAGGTATAAAGCCACAAACTCAAAATATGAAATGAAAGACATAATAATGAATCTGCATTGGTCTTAAGTTCTGTAAAAATTGCTTTTCAATGAGTGAAATGTACTATTCAAATAAAGTGCATTGGCTAAGCTCAAATATGAATTCAGAAGGGAAAAGCCACTCTGTGGATTATATGGACCACATGTGCATTGCAGCTTGATTTTATTTTCACTGTTTCTCTTATTACATGAACTGCCAAACTTACTCACAAAAACATCACATATTCCTTAGTGTGAAATACTATTACTTGATTCTGCTTTCGAATTTCTTCACTATTGTAATTCAGCTAACATGCAACAATGTCTATAAACTTTCTTAGCAAATGACTATTTACCGAGGTTCTCTTGGGGCAGGCAGTGTTTTCTTTACTGCCAGTCAGCAAGAAGTTCAAAAACACACACCAAACCAATTTGAAGATTATTTGCTGAAGCCAGTAAGCTGGTAGACTTACAGTTTCTACCATGAAATTTAACATGCAGTGAGTAACTTTAGAGTATGCAATCAATTATAATCAGAATTTTATCATGTTTGACATATACATATGAGATGATATGCTGTGAAATGCTGAAAAGCTCAGTCTACAGTTTTACACAGTGCTGGAATAAAATCATCTTTACTTTCTTTATTCAGCTTAAAATCAAGCTTTCATTCATGAGGCAGTCCACACTTTCCATTGCCCATCGTACACAAAAGTAGCTGAATAATGGAACTATCATTTGAAGACACAATCAGAAGGTATACACAAGTGCCCTTACAGCATACATAGAGTTCTACTTTTCCTCAGGAGCACAAAAGCCATGTAAATTAATGTCCATTAGAATGCCTATATCATAATCTATATCTTTTTCTAATAATCAGTTTTTTATTTCTAAATTAATTAATTCAGTTCAGATCATAAATCAGAGTATGCGTCTTCAATTAGAATCATAAATTCATCCCTTTCCATACTATATCCAGCGGCTAATCCAAATCCTTCCACCTGATTACTTTCCATCTAGCGTAATATAAGCATAATTCATTGTAATTTCTATTTTTCAGTTTCAGCTCAATCACCTTTTAACATTCATTTGTGTTACTTGGCATGCAAAACTTTTTCCAGTATATTTTATTTTATTTTGACTGTAGCATTTACCGCAGCACAACTATACTAGATACTACAGATGTAGAACAAAAAGCACTGCAGAAAACTTGAGCGTGCACTTGCAATACAGAGATATTGTACATGCTTCAGGATGCAAATTTAATGCTAATTTGGGGGACTTACAACAGAGGCAGGCATGGTTTTTGAGTACTGAAATGTATTTTGAACACAACATACATGAGAACATGAGTATACTGAACTTTACATTGGTTTACAACATGAGAGCTCGAACTAATATGACAAATTCTCCTCCTCTCTCCCACGATAAACGGAAATAAAAATGTCGCCAACTTCTACCGTCGACATCATCCCTACTGTTTTCTTCTCCACTGAACAAAATCATAACAGGACAAAAGGGTTTTATTCTTAAACGTGTATTTGAATACTCAGATGTTCGGATAGGACTTCGCAAACTCACAATTGAGAATATAAGCTCTTCACAACTGACAGAGCATCAATATCCGAACATTCTGTGTTCATTCCTTACAGTCTATTGAATTTGGATGTTTGCTTTGAAAACAATCACATTTAGAGATTAAAAATGTAAAACAGAGGCCAGCTATGAATCCCCTATACTTACAACCATCCACTTTGCACACTAATATTTTCATGACCCCAACTCCCACCTCAAACTTATAAAGAAAATGTAAACCAGGAAATATGTTTCCTTATGTAATTCTAAGGAACGTAAATATATTAAATCACTTCATTTTACTACTTCACTTGAAATTAGACATTTTACTTGAGCCCCTCCCGCCCCTCTTCCCAATCAACTGAAAAAGTAACAGCAACAGAAAAAAGAAAGAAGACATCAGAAAGTGACGGTAAGTCATTCTAGCTACAAGATGTTACAGGAGCTGTACGCAAAGAGGGTTGCTAATCTAGCAGACCGTCACACATATGATGGGTCAGCAACAGCCAACAGTCTGCCAGATCAGCTACACTGTGTGCATACGCACCTGGGTACTGCTAGTCACGAGGGGGAAAAAACAGATATTTCTCACTTACATAAAGGATTGGGGTGACACTGACAGTCTGAGGCTGAAAAATAAAACACCAAAAGAATTCAAACAATGCACTGAGCCAACTGAAACACATCCCTTTCAGGAACTGCCTCAATCTTCACAGAAAGCGAACCTAAGTCTCTCAGTCTCAAGATTGTCATAAATGAGAGCACAAAGTCAAAACTTGCTCACATACTGGCTTCTTTCCTTTGAAATTTTTGCAAAGCGTGCATTTTGTAATACATGTACAGCAAAAACAAAATCGACAGCAAACAAAACAGAGCTGAAGCAACATGGCAAGAACAAAAAAACAACAATAACATTAAGACAGTGATGCTTCACTTACAGAGCAAAGTGCAGGTGACTTTTGAGAAGGCTGTTGAGAACAAATTTCATGTTACTTCTATGACTGCTCTTAATTAACAGAGTGACCATATGGAATCAGTGTTCATCCTAAACATTCTGACCATTAACAAAACAAATAGAAATGCAATAATAAAAATTAAGAAATAAATTAGATAGGGTTTAAAATATATATTTAGCAGTAAGAATAATTCAAATTATAACAAAAAATGCATTTTCTGAACACATGTCCCAATCTGTCCAGCAAGAACAAACTCAACTGAGTGCAAACCTTGTTTTTGCTTTCATGACAGATTTGAAAAATTGCGACAAAATCTATAATTCTAAATACACCAGAGATTCAGAAATTACCTCCACGGCGTAAAAGCATACAACAAACAGCACTCACAATATCAAATACTTTACCCTGTTCAAACCTTAGCCACAAATGCCAAGATTTCCTTTACTTGACCTGAATCATATTTGAATATTACAAAGACAAGCCTTACAATCAAATACTGCATCCAAGCGCTACAAAATTATAGCAGTGCAGCTCCAAAAACACTCTGAGTGCTTATCCATCAGAACACAAAAAAACACTGAGTGCTTATCGCCCAGAACACAAACAAACACTGAGTGCTAATCTATCTGGACACAACAAACTGTCAACTCTACTAGAACTACACTCTGGTGAGGAGAGCAAGAGATGGCACTCCACAAGCAAGGGCCCTACCTCAGCTGTCTGTTGCCTCTGGCTGTGAAGATGTCGTAAGGGCAGTGTGGGCCTCTGACCAAGACGCCTCTTCCGTCCCGGGCTCTCAGGTCTCACTCCGTCTTTTCTCCCCTTCCCTTTCAGCATCATTTCATTCCTTTCTTTCTTCCGCAATATTTCCTCTCTTTGTTGTCTGTCAAAACAAAAAAGGCAAGTTAGAAAAAGCAAATCAGATGAGAGAAACGATGCAGTGACAGAAAACATACTTGTACTATCCCAATCTATATTCTGAGCATTACAGTAAACTGTATCTGTGGGTAATACCCTAGTTAACCCCTTGAACAAATGTGGAGGAGACAGAAGAATCTTCTGAAAGTATTCTTTTTAGTTTCACAGCATTTGTCACCTGTCTCCTCGAAAAAGACACCAATAATGTAATGAGATAAAGTCACAGGTCACATTTCTGTTACGTCTAAAAACCCTTACAAAAAAAAAGAAAAATACTTAACTGTTCCCATCAGCCTATCAAAACAAAATGTTCCATTATAAATCCTTTGAGCCAACTAGACCTGTACACCTGAGCTCCCTAGTGTTGTCTATTATATTTACACCATCGCATGCTGAGGTGTGCATTTGGTGTGCAGAAGAATAAAGGTAGAAAACAATGAGGCAAGCCCTCAGATTTGTTAGATTAACTCATGAACATCATGCCTTAATTCAGACACAGACATTACAAAATAGAAGGAACAGCATACTTCACTGACAAACTTACAAAACACATAAAGTGAGAGGAATCCATGGATTACCTGGCCATCTCCTGGCGAGCTTTAAAAGCCGCAGTCTCCTGAAACAATGTGCCACTACTGTGAAAGTACTTGTCATATTTCTCCGAGCCTGGCAATGGGTAGATGCGTCGGAAATTCCCCATGTGACCATTTTCATACCTCTCCAACTGTTCTACATATTGAGTCTGGGCAGCTTCTAATTCCTCCCTGAAAAACATATTCAAATAACATGACACCAAAGGTTTATGCTTTTAAATAGTTTTTCTGAACCAATTTCTTCTTTTCTAAAGCAGCCCATATCGCAATAATTAAACAGTATGAAACTTTCCTCATACATAATTAACAAAGATGTGCAAATTGCAAATTTTATCAAAACATCTCTCCCATTATGCTAACATAAAATACATTTAAAACTATCACATAGAGTCTGTAAATTTGAACCATATGCTTGTCTAAATCATTGGTCCATGGTTGTTGTTTTTTACAAAAAGTGAAAAACATTAACATGTACATATGCATGTTTCAAACAGCTTTCAATTTATTGGATGAAAGCCTCAAAACCACAAAGAGGTCCAAAAGACTCTAAAGTTAAAGAAACTTACTTTGTCTCTTTCTTGGTGTACTTCCCGAGCAGCCTGTCCTTGATTCTCTTGCGCTCCTCCTCCATGCACTTCTTACGGTCGACAGCCCCAAAGTTGATGAGGCCCAGGGTGTCCCAGATCAGAGTCCCTTTGATTTCCCTATCCAGCTGGGAATCTGTGGTGAAGCTGGGGGAGTGGTTCACCTTAGCACGCCACAAAACAAGCGGAATAATGTTACAAAACAAAACATACATAGCCAAACACTGAACTAGTTTAACAAAGACATTGGTAAAAAAAACACACACACAGATGTATTCTTATTTCTTTTTTCCTCAACATTGGTTAAAAAAAACTCACATAAATGTATTCTTAGTTCTTTTTTCCTCTCGCAGAGTCAATTTTTTAAAAATTTTATGACAGCAGAAAAGAGCAGGTCTTTGATTTTGGGTTTATTTCCACAATTTGTTTTATACCAACTAAAGTGTCCCTTGTGAGTTTTGTGTTGTGGTTAATTAGTTTGTTGTGGGCGTGAACTATTGAAGCTGCAAAACGCACAGTAATCTGAGAAATCCCAGAAAACATATCAGAGCTTCAACACAAACCTCAACACGAAATCTTTTGTGTTGACGTCTTTATACAACATAAGCAGGCAGTTGTTTTTTTGTCATGCGTGTGTCTTGGGGGTTTACAGGGGGGTGGGGGTTGGGGGAGACGCATACTATACTTTATTTCCTCTCCTTTTCTAGTTTATAATCAGACAAAGTATCTGAAAGGCAAAGAATATGAGAGTTGCAAATAACATACACGTACAACAATGATCCCTACTGCATAGACAAAGAAAGTATTTTCTAAAACTCACCTCAAGAATACTTGGCTTGAGCCTCCTGTCCACCAGGATGTCGATGCCCAAGATTTCAAAGCAAGCACTGCCCTTCACATGGTTTGGGAAGCAAGTGCGGTAGTTGTGTTTGAGCACAGAGTGTGCAGAGATAAGGGTCTTGATGATTACGTCATCGATGTCAGACCAAAGCTTGTCCACATCATAACCCTTTTCATTTAGATATTTGTTTATTGTGCTGATTCGTCTGCAGAGAATAAATACATATATTCACACATTGTGCTGATTCGTCTGCAAAGAATAAATACATATTTTCACACACAGTTCAATTTCAGATTTGAAAATCTTTTAAATTTTTACTCAGTTGTACTCAGAAGAATTAGCATTACAACTTTAGAAATGGCAGGCTGAAATCAACTTCTTAAAAAGAATTTTACAAAAACATCTAGACTTTAGATGCTATCAAGATGACCTTTTCAAGACAGAAGGTAATCTATGGCAATCATGTGACTATCTGTCCACATCCAAGACAGAGCAGTACCAAATGCACACATTTCATGTCAATTATGGATTAAAATGTATCTTCTATAAACGTCAAAATACTGCAATTCGAATTTTTAAAACCTTAGCATATAAGAATGTAGGTCAAATCAACATTTAAAAAGATTTGATATGAATAAAAATTTCCAGACCTTTCTGTCTGAAATGATATAAATCTCCATATCTAACAAATAAACAAACAGTATGGAGATTGAACGATTTGAAGAGAAGTCAAAGCTGGAAACGTTTGGGTTTTTTTTCCAATTTATGACCAAACAAAGATTTCGTTAAATACAAAGTTTCCAGTTCAACTAACAGAATACATGCCATCACGTAACTGGTACAAATCATACAATAATTATGAGAGAGAAACTTTTGATAACATACGATCATATTTAGAATATAACTATATTTTTTTAAATGTTCCTTACCTTTTACTTCCAGCTTCATCATCACGTACAAAATCTGAACTGTGTTTGTTGATGGCATAGTTTGTTAGATGCATGTACACATTATCCTGAAACATGAAAGTAATACAGGAAAATAACAAGAATGGTACACCAAATGAAAAGATATAGAGAAAAGACACCCATAACGTGAACATGTTATTTCATACAGAAGTAGCAGACTAACCTTCTGGATGTCCTTGCTATTGTTATTACAAAGTTATATAGATGGATGCAGTTTTATATATCCCCCCCACCCCCGGTCTTTGACAAAGTTACAAAGTTACAAAGTTACAAAGTTACTATACAAGTGTTGTTGCTGCTGCTGATGTTGTTGTTGTAACTGTAGTCCCTTCTTGTTGATGTAAATACAGTTGATAACAAAGAATCATCATTTAGCTGTTTAGATGGCTCCTTTTAAAAAAAGATCAGCTCCTTAATGCAACTGGAATCAGCTGTGCTTAATGAGTCTCTTAAAGAATTCATATAAGAGGAAAGCTAAACCTTGTTCATATATCCCGCTTAACATAAATTACAACATCTCATTAAGACTGCCCTATTACTGGTATCTGATGTAAGAACAGTGACAAATGATCCATTATTTTACATCTTTAAAAATTCTTATAAATAGCTAAACTGTCCACCTACCACCAGCCTTCTTCGGTCCACTTATACAAATACTTACATCAACAATATAAACATGTGTAAGGTGCAATATAAAAAAATGCACCCAATATAGCATAAACTCGTGCTGTAGCTGTCAACAACTGAAGTTCATATCCCATATGGGTGAATGAGCAGATGTACTATTGCACTGCAATATTTCCACTCTTTACACCCTTTTCATACACTTAATGTTTTCAATGTAATCAATTTAGCATTTAATAAAGTGTCTTCCCACTTACAGTGTTGTTGTTTGTTGGCTCACTGTATTTGTTTGTGGCGAACCTCGCCAGACCGTCCTTGAAGACAAAAATTCGAAGTGGGTCGCAGGAGGTTATTAACGTGTAGATTCGGAGATCAAACTTGAACCCATCAATCAAGAAGGGCTGAAATCATCAAATAGAATGAAATATCATATATCTGGATAAAGGAGAGGAAACAATTCCCTCAATAACTCTATTACAAATCTTTCATAGATACACAAAGTAGATCCTACTGAAACAAGATCAAGATTTTGCTTTGTCTAAAAATTAACTGTTCCCTGCCTAAGCCATATTAGTGACATTGTGGTTAGATTTTTTAAAAATATTTTGTGAAATTGGGGTTTGCTTATGAAAAGTTTATACATTTTAACAATGCTGAAGCCCTCCAGTAGGAGGGTAAACAAACTATTCTTGCCTAAGGGAATTATCCTTAAAGACAAGCCAGGGGGAAAAATAGCAAGCCTGAGAGAACTTAAGTACTAACGCGTAATTTCAATTACTCTTCTGTAAATGTGCTGAAAAAAATTAAAGATAACGACTTTTTCTAATTCATGAAATAACGTTTCTCACCCTGTTTACATAAACTTGACAGATCATGTGCTCATGTGGCTTAATTTCCTTAGGGTTTTTCGTGACCCAAATTCCTTTGCCTTGGCATCCAGACTCTGGCTTCAGGATATAGGTTTTGTTTTTCTTCTGACGGGTGTACGCCTGAAAGTCACCATAACTGAAACAGAGGAGACAACAGTAATGAAATAAATGCATCACTTTGACCAATGATATAAGCAGGATCATAGACAAACCCAAGCACGACACCCATACACACATGCATAAGCACGTACATAGACTTTCATATCATAAGCAGACACAAATTAAAATAAAAAACATTCATCCACATTTGTGAATATATTCCTTTTGCATTTCACATGAAATTAGTACTTCATTGCAAATAAAAATCATCAAACATTGCAGTTATGAAGTCTTACATAATATTGGAAAAAAATCATGAAAAAACAAAAAAGTAATAGAAGAATTCAAACATGTTTGTATGAACATGTATGTAAAATAGCTGAGAATGAATAAAACGAAACACATGTACCATTCATAATCTGCACATAAACATAAAATCTCATGATTTATAAAACATTTTTCTCTCATATTGTTTGGCTCAAGTTTGAACTACAAATTATCTAACAGTTTCAAAGATGTTTGAATTGCTTTCTGCTACTCAACAAAGCAAAGGGTGAAAAGGTGTTCAGTTTTCGGAGACACAGCACAACCAGTTTAGAATGTTGACTTACTCGGCAGGAAGGCACCAGGTTTTGGGGAAAACATTGTATTCTTTGGGGAACATTTTCTGCATTCTGTTGAGGTTGCGGGCCAACATATCTTTCCTGCAGATTTCATTCATCCCAGGGAAGTGGTTGATTTTCTGTTGTGAGAACACACCAAGAAGCAAAATATACAATACACTAAAGCTGTACACATCTTAATAAATATATGAAACTTATCCGTTTGATTCTGGACTTAACTGACTAATACATGTAACAACATTAAACTAATCGTGCTAGTGGCAACCTTAGAATGGAGCCATGCTCAACTGAAGCTGTTAAATATTGTAAGGATAAAAATATTGTACTGTTTACCTAAGGAAGGGTATCATATTTCTAGAAAGAATGGCTCAAGTATGAGAAAAGAGGATGAAGCTATCGTAGTCACCTGGTACTTCTTCATGTCCATGACCCTCTCCAGGGCCACAGAGAAGTCTGTCCAGTAGAGAGTCCAGTCATCATCATCTGACACTTCCTTGAAGCCAAACTTCTTGGATGTCCGCCGCACTGTAAGTAAAATACAAAGTGAGTAAAAAGCACCAGAATCTTTTCATCGTAACACAATGTGGTCATCTCCGTTCATTCACCATCATGATATAGTTAATCATGAATGAACAAATCCAACTCTTTGCTGCATGCAGTTTTACTCCTACTTGCCATTTATATGTATATTACAATTGCCTGTGCTAAAAAGAAGCAAGATCTTTTCAGTTATATTTTCTCAGTTCCAGTTCATGTGCACATGAGCAAGCAACAAATACGAGAGAAAAATAGTCTGTCAAAGACTCCAGCCCTCTGCAGCCTAAGCTTTTGCATACCAAATATTCATCTATATCTTCTCCACATTTGCAGGTAATAAATCTCTCCAACTCAAGCTTCTTTAATAACATTACTTTTTACACATTTTTAGAAATAATTATCCTTCTCTTCAGTTACTTTTCATTCATAATTACTCTGTCCATTCCTCTTTGGGATACCCAGGTATAAAAAGGTAGATTAAACTTGAGAATAATAATCAAAACTTCAAAAACTGTATCCCCACTGATCCTTATGAAAATGCCAGGAGCAGATAGATATATTGGCTGAACAAGGTAAACAGAGGAAAGAGCAAAACCACTCAAAGATAGGCGACCAAGTTTCTTTATTTGTATGAAACATAGCTGCCCTATTAGAAGAAACACAGGAAATACATTTCTGCCCTTTCTTAATTTAAAGCAGAATAAACAATAGACGACAATAGCATGATATCAGTAAAAGTGCTGGATGTTTAAAAAAGTGAGGACGTACCAACATCATACTTGCAGTTGGTGAGGCATATTGACAACCATCTGAAATGCCAAAAAAAGCAGAGTTACACTCATTCTACAATTTCATTTTGATTTGTTTGTTGGGGTTTTTTGTTTGGGGGGGGGGGATAACAAAATCTGATCAAAGCAGCAAGTTAAAAACAATACTAAAGAAATAAATAGAAAACCCCATGGCTTTTTTTTTAATTCTCTGAACTCTTTCAAAATCAAAAAGGCCAAGGTGAAAAAAAAGAAGTTCGTGTATAAGTATGTCTAAAGTTACAATTGAAAGATGGAGTTTAATTACAATAACGTTTAAGGACTCAAAAAAAAAGAAAACAAATGAGCTATAAAATGTGAGAGAACTACATGCTGTGGCAGCTTATCAACCGCATTGGCATTGACAGGAAAGACGTGAACAACAATACACACTGCATAACAATGGGGCATACCCCCCCTCCCTCGACCTTCCTTGTTCTTTTCCCAATGGGGTGGAGGGGGGGGGGGCTGTATTTGTAGTTTGGGAGTAGAATGTCTGCAAACAGAGCTACTGTGATGTTTTGGGGGCCATCTACTTATTTGTCTAAATGCTAAGAGCAAAGAGAAGCTATCCACACAATATAAGTCACACAGTGCATGGACAGAGTGAGACAGACAGATACAACAGAGCGAAAGAAAAAAAGTAGGACCTGCAGCCAACCACCCGCCAGCCTTCCACATGAGTATAAATAAGGGCTTTTATTTTTTAAACCAAATGCGATTATAAACAAGGACATGCGCACACATCTCTCACGCACATAAAGTTTATTCAATCAGAAGTGACTTTTCTACGTTTGCACCACCTGTAACCACAGCAACAACAACAAACAAAACAACAGAAACAGATCTATACAGCACAATAAGCTCCACATTTGTTGGGGAGTTCAAAGAAAGAAAGAAAAAAAAACGAGGGGATAAAGGCAAAGAGCAGTAGGTTCTCGGAACAGCCAAACCATTAGGCACACACACAGGGAAGTAGGACTTTCGTAATACGCTGTTCTAGCTCTAACCGAGACCGCAATAATGCATTATGCACGCTGGATTGTGATCAATCGACCGAGATGAAATCGCTTATGCGCTGCCGATCGCATTCAATATGTTCTAAGCCTTGCCAGTAACACAAAAAGGTACGTGTGAAAAAAGAAAGGTGGCAGAAAGACGCGTCAAAGGTAGATGTAGTCCTAGTGCGAGAAGTGGACGCGTATTCCCAGCTCACTTTGACCCGACACGAGCAAACCATCATTATTTATTCCCCTGGGTCGACTCAGTGGAAACAACGGAAGGGATGAATTATTTCTTCTGCTTTCTCTTTTTCTTTTCTAGTCACATTTTTCCGCGTCCAATTTTTTTCCTCGTCCTACTTCTTCTTCTTCTTCTTCTTCTTCTTCTTCTTCTTCTTCTTCTTCTTCTTCTCCTTCTTCTTCTTCGCCTTCTCCTTCATTATTATGAACAATCAAAATCTCATCTGTGATCTGTGTTGGTTTTGATGAGTGTACTGGGTACATTTACAAAATCATCTATACCAGTCTGTCAGTTTTCGTAAGAATTGTATTCTTCACGAAAATTTGACTCAAATAGTCGAGGTTCTAGTACTCCACTGATTGTTAAACATCCTAACTGAATCAGTTCCACTCAGCCCAGCGTTACGCTAAGCGGCGTTCTCAAAGGAACACAGTAATGCACGTGGCCAGAACCGTGCAGTTCGAGATACAAGTTACAGACAAACAAGCACAATCTTATTAACCCTATCCGTACGCCCTGGGGTAATGTTGTACCCCGGGGGGGGGGGGGTTGTATACTTCACATTTTAGAATACTTCTAGTATGAAGATCTTGAAACTTTCAGTATTTCTCAAAAAATCATTTTGACAGACTGCTATACAAAACGTACGGATTGGATTAACGAGCAAATTGCCTCTTTTGAAAGTAGTGGCACAGAGTTCCCCACGTCGTATGGATACAATAATAAAACACAAGTGTAGAATTCTGTGGGTTAAGGCAATCTAGCAATGGAGCAAAAACCAGACAAAGAGTGCGCCGATAAACCCAGATAGCATCATGCTGGATTACGATGTAAATGGTACTGGTTCGAATCCTCTGCGAGGCATTTTTTTGAACGTGTGTTGTTGTTTTTTTGGAGTTACCAAAATCAAGGCCCCCACTCCCACCCACTCGCTTTGGTCCTATCAGTGATGAACGTTAAATTCGGAGTTCCAGCCTCTTAAATCACCTAACAGCGTTGGCATGGGCGTAAAACTCACACTAAAATCATATCCACCTCAGACGCCACACAGAAATTACAAACAGAGAGAAAAGAAGCAAAAACCCCACCAGCACACCCTCCAACCTCCTACTTGACAAGCATGCACTGATTCCAAAACTAAAAGCAAACAAAAGTCTGCTCTCCAGGCCTGAGATTGATTTTACCTGAAGTCCATATAAGTACATGGACGCGAGGGAAACAAGGTATAGTATCTGTCAACACACGATATTTCATTTCATTACAGGGAGATATGTGGCTGGTTGTACACGACAGAGTGCGCCTTACGTCAAACGATAAGCATGTAACTATACAACTCAGAAATGCTGGAGGAAAAAAAACGAAAAAAAAACGCGAGGCACTGTTTTTTAATGCCAGCGTTGTTGAGGAAAGGGGGATGGGGGGGGGGCTTCTCTTAACAAGTCACTTTTTTCGGTATGATAGTTAGCGCCCCGACCCCCAAAGGAAAAAGATACAAATAATAAACAAACAAAAAAACACTTGTAAAGAAAGACCCCCCAAAGTGTTTTATCTCGCTTGTCACCCCTGATAATCGTAATCGACTCTGAAGAAATAACAAGTGGTCAGGTCACACAAACGGCAATACAAGCCTGGCAGACTTGACTTCCCGTGGTCATAGTGTGGGAGTTGAAAGTCATTTGGCAGTTGTAAATACACTTTTATAAGGACCTGTACCTTACAAAAGAATGGCTTGCCTTCTGGCGAACCGAAGGGCCACAGACTTGTGACGGGCGCTAAGTGAACGTGGAGGGAGCTATGAATAGATTCGATTGTGCACCCCACCCCCACACAATATCCCTAGATATGGGGAGGGGGGGTCTCACTCCAAGCCGGAATAAACGGGAACTGTGGACAAGTGAAGCTAAGGCTAATGTATAAAACTCAGTTTCAAAAATAGCGGTAATAATTATAAGACCAAAAGTATTATAATGAGAACCGATCATAAAGGACCCTCAAGTCATTTTGTATTTTCGCCTCGTTCTTTTCAGAAGGCAGGAATCAAATCAAGACACACGAAGCATTTCGCATACATAATGTGAATGTAAACAGGCTGGAGAAAGGAGCCTTTTACTGTATCGAATATATCGCGTTGGCAGCTCGGTGTGCTGGACGTCAGCAGCACGATAAGGCCCTCCAGGCCCATGAAGGCCAATCATTAAGCGGGCAGACACTTGGTCGACTTTTTGGTTCTGTTCGATCGGATTTGGGGGGGGGGGGGGGATCACTTACCAAACAGAATCGAGACAGAAAAAATTCTGGTTACTTTTTATTTTAGTATAAGTAAACGCTTAACGGTACTTGCAACACAAATAGGTGCCTAAGGATAGAGCTGTTGAATTGTTACTGGAGAGTAAAATGCAAAGAAAAGAAGGAGGAAAGATAACGTTGGAAGGTGTTTGAAATGAAAGAAGGAGCAAACCACACCAGAGCGCCCACCCACCAAACAACCCATACTCTGATCTCTGAAAGTACAGGCATAGCAATGGTTATTCGTCGTCCCCTCTACGGCTCTCATGCAGTAGCAACATAAGAGAAGTAAACGGCACTCACCGTTGTCTATCTGACTATTTTTAGAAAAGAAATAATAACCCTGAGTGATAACGGAGCCAATGAAAAATCAATATATGTTATCACAGATAAAAAACTAAATCCACCACTACGTCATGTACACAATTTTGTGATCTCGACTTCTTTGCACGACCCAGAAAGGCAGACTCGGGAGAAGTCAACCAGGAATGCGCACTGGGGGCGGGGGTGGGGGGCTGATAAGAAAGGCAGTAACCATTCCACACTTCGTGCAAAATCGGGCAAGCGTTCATCAACCTTTAGAACTGTCGCAGAAGGCGGCTGGCCCAGGTTGTGGGTGCCATGAATGGAATACATTTTGACTAAAATCGATCAGTACAGCTGATCGGGGACCACACAAAGGAGCACAAGAAATGGAAAAGAAACCAGGCCCTCTATATGGGAGCGCTTGCGACCGAGTCGTAGCTTATAAAAAAAAAGTGTGCGTGTGGGGAGGGGGGAGAGAAGTATAAACGTAAAAGCGGTGAACAATCGTTAAAGTGAAAGTATAAGACAGTTCAACTGGTTTTATAATGAAGAGCAGTTGAGGGGAAGTGTACATGTAGGTCCTAAGGTGGGCAAAAAAAGCAGACGAGCCTATAGCATTGTTGAAAAAAGAAAACATTGTAAGAAATAAATGCTACTTCGAGATACATAAAAATCAAACAAGCAAAAGGGCTTTCACACAAACGGACGGACGACCAGACAATTGGACAGACGGATAGATAAATGGGACGTGTTTGGAAGAACGGACGTCTGATGTAAAAACAAGGAGGCAGCAAGACGACCGAGTGAAATAATGATGAGGAAAGGGGAACAGCGGCTCCTGCCAACAACTTGGGGAGAGGAGGGATGGGAATGGAAGGGGTTTTCTTTTTCATTTTGTTCATATATTAACGTTTTACGCCTCTATCCACACGAACAGGATCATTCGGGAGAAGAACTGCTTCGACCCCGCTGCCAGAGCTAACCGGGGCTGAAAGGGATACAACACATCCCAGCAAACAGAAATGCTCGATTTAAAAAATAATAATAATATTTTAAAAATCGCTACTCTGGAATCGAACTCATGTCCTCTGCCCACGACATGAAGGAGCTTTATCGTCACCCCACAGACGCCGATATGAGAAGAGTGAAGATCGTACACAAACAATCTG